AAACAAAAAGGACTCAAGGCAAAGGTAAAACTTGATATGAGCTTTTTGGTTTGGTGATCGAGACACTTAGCGAGTGTGATCACATTTAGGATAGATGGTTGTACTATTAAGAGGGGAGCTCTTATCGGACAACTTGATCATCTAGTGCCACTAGGTGTTGAAATACTTGCATTGCATTTTAGGCCTAGAGCACAATCGGTGTGAAGTGATTAACCTTTGAAAATTGATTGTAAAAATGCTAACACACTTGCACGTGATGGTGAAACACTTGGAGTGTTATCACATTTACAAAGGTGGCGAGAAAGGTGAAAAAAGGAGGCAAAACTCGGCTTGGGGTGCTGCCACGGGGGCACCGCCACCCCTTGGCCGGTGCACCACCAACCCTGTCTGTGGCGGTGACCGACTGGGAGGCCGAGAACAACAAGTTGCCCTAGGGGCACCGCCACTATGTGCCCGTGGCACCGCCACCCCTAGGGTGGTGCCCACCTAGACATGGCCGAGACTCAGGAGAAGTGAAGCGGGCACCGGTGCGTCCAGTGTGCACCGCTGCCCTAAGGGCGGTGCACCGCTCGGACACTGCCATGAGGAGGGCGGTGCCACTGCCATTTTCTTCCAGAGACTAGTGAAATGGGGTTGGTCACCACCTCGGGCACCACCGCCATAAAAATCCAGAGAGGGGGTATTCGCGTAGATGGTCGGGTGGTCACCGCCACCCTAGGGTCGGTGCCACCGCCACCCTGTCCAGTGCCCCAATGGCTAGTTTTTAGCCATTGGAACGTGACCATTGGGAGGGGCACCGCTATGTCCGGTGCCAGGCACCACCGTGTCCGGTGCCATCGCAGAAAGCTGCTTCAAAGGGATAACGGCTCTATTTGCTTATGGGCTTATAAATAGAGCTAGTGACCGGCCTTGGCCACTCTTGGCACTTCTAGCAGCTGCATACACCCTTTGAGAGCTAAGCACACCACTCCACTCACTTGCACACTTGATTTCATCATATTGAGTGACTAGTTGTGCATCTCTGTAACTCAAGAGAAAGGAATATACATTTTCCATGCTGAAAATAATATTGGCATGTTTAGATATATTCAAATATTGTATCGACCTACATGATGTACCAACTGTGATAGTAGCTTCACAGACTAAAAGGAAATACCTTTACCCTAGGAATGTTGTACTTATGATAGTTTTTTCATGAAACCTTTTGATCATTGTAATGCCGCAGCCTCGGATGAAGGACCAAAAAAGTAGGGCTTCTAGCTTTGACAAGGTCATCTGCAAGACAAGCAAGGAGATGTGCTTTAGATCCACCGAAAACTAATCCAACACCACAAATACGACAGAATGAGATGACATCTTCACTATTAGTTATGTCCAGGCCAGGTATGCATGTGGCATCTCCGAACTGAGCAATGTTAGGCACAACAAAGAGCATGCTCCCTTCCTCCTCCATCAATGACCAATAGTTCATAGTTCATCAAGGTTTAGTTTTCCTCAGAAACCATATATTTCCAGCAGCATAATCCATAAACAACTTAATGAATTTATTTCCTTCTTCACCCAAGCAACATATAATAATTTCTTGAATTTTTTCGCGTGATGAGTTAAATGAGAACCCTTGTTTTTGCTAGTTTGGCGCAGCCATTTACCTCAAAGCGCATGAGGCCTAAGATTTTACTCAAAAAGCAAAAAAAAAACATACGCCCAGTACTTTAAATCCGAGCAAAATTTTGGGAAGCATCATGCATAAACAGTTCAACGAAGTTACCCTCTCTACTGGATCAGAGACAATAGATACAAGTTAACCAGAATTCCAGAACAGCTCCAAATCATATCTTACCAAGAACCTTGACGTGGCCATTAGTCGAAGAGAGTGTTGTGTTCTGGTGTCTGCCCTTCAAAACATTTTAAAGATAGCACTATTTCGTCCCTGGATGGGAAGATGAGTTTTGCCAAGTGCATTAATTAAATAAGTCAAGAAATAAATTTTTAAGTAGAGTGAGCGAGGGGCTTGCCTGCAAGATGGTGCCCAATGCATGGAAGGTGTATGCGTCTTTGGCGAGGTCGTCCTGAATGAACTTCAACCTACATCAATGAAGAAAAGGAAATACCAAATATCAAAATGCTCAAGGTAGCAAAAGAAAATGTGATAGTATACATAACCGCAACTGGAAAATAGATAATGATATGCACATCAGTGAACATGTAAGAGCAGGAGTTAAAACATATATCTTGTTTACAGGCAATGCTGTCTACCTGGACCAGCGTGTGATTTCGGTGTGCAAGTCTGTCAAGAACGCACACTTTGCTCATTGCTGGCTTTCCTAAAAATCAATGGCACAAGATAACATAATAAATAAAGAGAACCAATGATTAAAACATACTCAATATGTATTATTTGCAAAAGGAAGGCTTGTGTGAAGAGTGGAAGGACAGAGGAAGATGTAGTAATAGAATTATCCTTTGAGTAGAATTTAATCCGAGAGAGCACACGAAGGAGCCCTGCAAAAAATTACCTTAGTGATATTGAAAGCTCTAGTTTAGTTTTGGCTAATGGATGAAACCTATTTGGACTAATCCTTGCATCTAAGTGTGTGACTAGATAGGATGGTCCAACCCAAGTAAAGTAGCTAGGTGGCACTCATGGATGGAGATGGCCACATGAAATGAAGTCCATGGTGGTGGTGTGGACATGTGATGATGATCAAGCTACGGGACTTGGAACAGAAGAAAGAGAAAAACAAAAATGGCTCAAGACAAAGGTGAAACTTGATAGGAGCTTTTTGTTTGGTGATTGAGACACTTAGCGAGTGTGATCACATTTAGGATAGATGGTCATACTATTAAGAGGGGAGCTCTTATCGGACGACTCGATCATCTAGTGCCACTAGGTGTTGAAATACTTGCATTGCATTTTAGGCCTAGTGCACAATTGGTGAGAAGTGATTAACCTTTGAAAATTGATTGTGAAAATGCTAACACACTTGCACATGATGGTGAAACACTTGGAGTGTTAACACATTTGATATGGTGGTGAGAAAGGTGAAGAAAAGGAGGCGAAACTCGGCTTGGGGTGATGCCACGGGGGCACCTCCACCCCTTGGCCAGTGTACCGCCAACCCTGTGGCGGTGACCGGCTGGGAGGCCGATAACAGCGAGTTGCCCTGGGGGCACCGTCACTGTGTGCCTGTTGGCACCGCCACCCCTAGGGTGGTGCCCACCTGGACATGGCCGAGACTCAGGAGAAGTGAAGCGGGCATTGGTGCGTCCGGTGTGCACCGCCGCCCTAAGGGCGGTGCACCGCTCGGACACTACCGTGAGGAGGGCGGTGCCACCGCCATTTTCTTCCAGAGACCGGTGAAATGGGGTTGGTCACCGCCTCGGGCACCGCCGCCCTGAGGGCGGTGCACCGCCATAAAAACCCAGAGAGGGGGTATTCGGGCAGATGGCCGGGTGGTCACCGCCACCCTGTCCGGTGCCCCAATGGCTAATTTTTAGCCGTTGGAACGTGACCGTTGGGAAGGGGCACCGCTATGTCCGGTGCCCTTGCAGAAAGCTGCTCAAAATGTGTAACGACTCTATTTGCTTGTTGGCTTATAAATAGAGCTAGTTACCGGCCTTAGCCACTCTTGGCACTTTTAACAGCTGCATACACCCTTTGAGAGCTGAGCACACCACTTCACTCACTTGCACACTAGATTTCATCATCTTGAGTGAGATTGGAGAGCATCTAGTGTATTGCATAGTGTTTAGTATCTTGTGGCACTAGTTGGACGATTTGGGCTGGTGGAGTTCTTGTTAATTGACGATGATTCGCACGGAGAGGATAAATATAAATCAGGGAATAATAAAAAGTAAAAAAAATGAAAGAAAGGAGAGAAAAAAAAGAAACTGCAAAAGAAATGCATGAAACAGTAGATGCCCGTGCGGGTGGGCTCCCTGGGCCGAACAATTCCGCGGACTGGGCTACCGCCTACCGCCGTCCGCCGCAGGCAGCCACCTTCGACCCGCGTGCTTCTCTCTCTCACTCTTTCGCCCTGGGCTACCGCCGCCGCCGCCCTACGCCAGGTGCCGAGGTCTTCGTCGATCTCTTCGCCGGCGACGAGCACACACAAGGTATTCCCACCCCTTCCCTTCCCTTCCTGATGTGCGAAACCGAGCACCCAACATAACTTAAGCTATTTGGCTATTTGATTGATGCCTACTTACTTCGAAGCCGTCCAGGATGGGATACAACCGCCACAGGCGCGGCCGGGGATCCTCCTCCTCATCGTCTTCGCGCCGTACCAAGCAAGAAGCCTCGTGGTAATTAGCTCTGTTTCAACTCTAAATTATATTTACCTCGGTGTTTAGGCTTTGATTGGAAATTTTTATATAGAGGCCGAGTCGGTTTTTGTTAATTTTTTCATTTTCTGTTGCGGTATTACAGTTGGCACCCTGTTGAGCTTGCTTTACCTTCCAGACAGAGGATATTGTGTGCTTCAATTTAAATTGCTATTTTGGATTATAAAAATAGCCAACAGATGGTTGTTAAAATCACCCTTTTTATTTTTCAGTTTCAGTGATGACGGCCCTGGCACGTCACTTCCAAGGCAAGAAGGTACACATTTTCTTGTATTTATCGATGTTCTGTGAATTAAATGTGTACGGTTAAGTTACTGTATAATTTTGTGATAAGTTTTCATGAAAAATATACTGATTGTCTCAACTGTCAATTATGATTTTTGCATTTTTGTCTGGGACGTGAGCTAAAATGATAAACTGGACTAGGCTAGTTGATTACAACTACAGGGAGCGAGCATACCAACTATCCTTTCTTAATTATATTGTATCAGTTATTGGCAAATCCATTTAAGGGTTCAGTGTTCGTCAGCTTCATGAAATCAGTTTACATCATTCCTCAGGTTTCAAGATTCAGTGTGTATTAACAATAAAATAATTTTGTTTTTTACCCAGAAGACACAGAAGACGAATTTAAAGGTTCAAGAATTCAGCTTGCAATGTGGGTAGGTGCAATGTTTTACATATAATCATTAAATGATATCATTCTTATTCCACACCGTGTGTAAGCTCTTCTGTTTGTTTGCTGTATAGGACTTCGGCCAGTGTGATGTCAAAAGATGCACTGGTCGTAAGCTTTCAAGATTTGGGCTTTTGAAGGTAAGGCACCTCTTGCTTCACAATATTTAAACATTTTTATGTTCTTGAGACCGATCTACATGCTAATGCTAAAACTGAAAAAATACATGAATAATTCAAATGTGGCACAGTCATGGACATAAGGACTGTAGACATCTGAATATGATGTTTTGAAGCTTATTTTCTTCAAACCTTTAGTATATTTTTTTCTCTTATAAGCAGAATTTTGTCAAACATTAGCACTAAGAACCACAAACTGTTCTTGACAAATTGTTATTTGTCTAACAGGAGTTGAGAGTGACCAATCGTTTTGGTGGTGTTGTTCTCAGGTAAAATAAGCTATGGGGCTAAACATTTTCATAGTTAGTTTAACTTGTATATGAGTTTGTAAAAGACAATAGTTAATCGCTCAAGTAAAATTGATCTTTGAGATGTTAGTTCTACTACTTAATTGTTTAATTTTCTTTCTTTCAGCCCTGTTGGAACACAATGTGTATCCAAGGAAGATCATCCTATTGTGCAAAGAAAAGGATTGGCTGTGGTTGACTGTTCCTGGGCACGTTTAAGTGATGTCCCTTTTGTGAAACTACGTTGTGGTGCTCCTCGTCTCTGTAAGATCATCATATCTTAATAATTTGAGTGAAATGCACTAGGGATCCTTAAACATTTCCTGAACTGTGGACCCAGATTCTCACTTGGAGTGAACCACTTAAAAACTTGACCCAGATCCTCAGAGTTTAGGGACCTAGTTGAGAATTCAGGATAAATTTAAGGATGCCCAGTGCATTTCACTGTAATTTTAATAAGACAGTGATTCATATGTTCATTATTCATTTTGATTTTTGTATGTAGTCTTTGGGATTACTCTGTCCTACCTGTTCTGCATGAATTCTAGCAGCATATTAGGTTGTTTTTTGGTTGCCCGCATTAGACTGTATCAAGGCTTTTTGAATGCAGGACACCCATGTTTGGATGTCTGCATAATCCCTTATGCAGGTTTCACAGTCCTTGGAGCACACTTTAGCCTGCATTGCGCAATTTGGTCATTTTGGGTGTAGTAGCTAATGCAGGCTTGGGCAGTGCAGCTGTTGGGATCACCTCTCTTCGCCACACCTACACGGCAGCAACACCACCTTCCCCATCAGTGCGAGCACATCTCTTATGCTTGCTCCAGTCATAGCACAGCCCCACCTCGTCTGCCGGCTCCCCTGCATCACCCTCGCCGCCTAGTGAGCGCCCCTCGAGGTATCATCGGCCTGTCCCACCCGGTGCTGGTGGTGAGATGCAAACATGCCACACCCTGCACACGAGATCAGCTGGATTTGCAGGCCAGCTAGACATTGTCAGTGAGGAGCTCAGCCACACATCCCTGCCCCTCTCCGCCATTAAGATGCTGGTGAAGCGTGGCCACGAAGCAGCAATGCGCAGCGGCTCCTCGGTGCGTGTAGCCATACTCCTGTGCAGCCTGATGGAGCAGCTCAACGATGGGTTTCCAGCCAAGCAGCTCGGCATCGATGATGAACTGCTCTGTCTCCTCCCCATCCGCGCCCACCTCGGCATTGGTGATGCTCGCGTGGGGTCACGGGTGAGTCCAAGTCTGATGAGCATGAAAACGTGGCCGCGCCGGAGTCCAGTGGTTCAAGGCTGCTCCCGTCATCTGCCGGTGTGCCGCCTTCCCCGGCATTCCCTGCGTCGGCCTCCTCATGCAGCCTGTTCACCTGCATCTCCACCTCATCTATGCTCCCAGAAGCAATGTCAACTTCTTGGCTTAGATTTTGGGTGGGAGGAGTTCAATTTAGAATGGATGATGTATTGATGTCGATTCGATGGGGACAAACTTCGATCGAGTGGAGCAAAGGTTGATTTGAGAGGCTGTGAGCCTGCAGTGGCGGCCGCCCACCATTGGCCTTCCTGTCTAGCAGAATGGTGCACCAGGAGCTTAAGGAAGGAGAAGGATAGGAGGAGGGGAGGTGATAAGATTTTAATCTTACCGCAGCACAATGAGAAGCAGGTTACCATATGCAATCAACTAAATACGGTCTTGTGAAATGCAACCTGGCTATGCAGAGCAACCAAACACCAGCTAATCACATAGGATTGTCCTGGCTTGGGTTTGGCCTTCATAAGCCCTTATGCAGGCTTTGGTTTATCCAAGCAACCAATCACACCCCTTAGCTACTATTGTAGAATGATTTTGTATATAATGCAAAACTTATTTGTTTGAGTCCCCGCTTAAAAGGGATCATAAAAAGGTTTAGGCCCTGCTATTCCAATTCAGATTGTGCTTTTGGCTTGTTTTGTTATAAAGAGAATTTTTCATGTTTTCCTTCTTGTACCAAATATGTACGCTCACTCTGTGCCCTATTGCCATACAAGGGAGAACCTATATAATGAAGTAGGTCCTCCTTTATGGCTTTTTTCTCGAAAAACGCAGGAGAGCTGCGCATCATTATATTAAGAAGTGAAAAAAGGGAAAGAACCCATACAACACACCCCAGGCTAGCCAAAAGGCATGCCCACACACTCACACCAACTCACGCCAACTCACACAAAACTCCCCCAAACTCTCTGATCCTTAGCATATAAGCACGCCCGTGTTTCAAAGGGCGACCAACAGCAGCACTAGGATCTTAACTTTCTGAGTGGGGGGCAGTCAGGAGAGAAATTCCTCAAGCCCCAGCCAACGACCATAGTTTTCGCTCCTCTCCAGCAACGATCAGAGTTCTTGCAATATCAGGGGCTGCTCCATCAAAAACACACCTCTTTTATGGCTTCATATATGTAAACTGGAATTGGATTTGTTAAAGATATTTGTGCTTTATTTAAATAATTGCAGTACCATGGTTGGTAGCGGCAAATCCTGTGAACTATGGTCGCCCATGTGAACTTTCTTGTGTGGAAGCTTTATCAGCAGCCCTCATAATATGGTAAATTTTTTAAGCATTGCTTAACAATATTGTTTGGAATATGTAGCTCATATAATCCTGTAGCTTGATTTATAATTAGATGCTTTCAGGCATCAGCTTATGTTGTGTACATATTTGCAGTGGGGAGGAAGATACAGCACATTTGCTGCTTGGGAAATTCAAGTGGGGTCATGCATTCTTGTCTCTAAACAGGTCAGTTCAGTGGAAATTTTTGTGTAGTCATACCTAGACTGACGGTGAATCTTACTGAAGCGGTTATACACCAATGAACTAAATTATCGTGATGAAATTCAAGGATGGTGTGAGGGCAAAACACTCTGCCCTATTTGCACGATTATACCATAGTACCATACTATTACCATTGTTCAACAAATGTTACAAGAAAGTTTGTGTGTACTCATTATCCAGCAATACTATGGATAGAGACATTCAGTTATCCATGAATATAATATTCTAGTTTATTACTCATGTTTATCCTTAGCAGTAAATGCTGTTAAATGTCGAGCCTGTATCCATCCTACTTGATATGCCCTGTTCACATTATGTATTTAGGTCAGGTTTTCATACCTTTCCATTGTAACAATATGCAGAGATCTCCTGAAAGCATACTCCCAATGTGAAAATGGATCTGAGATTATCAATGTGCAGAACTCATGGTTATCAAGTAACTCAAGTGTTCCAAAGCCACCTGTAAACGGTAATGTGGTTTCACAAGTTATCCGTCTGTAGAGTATAAAACTTGTTAGTGAGGTATTGATGCTAGATTGACAGGGACAGAGGAAGCACGGCAAAGCACGGAGGAGGGATCTGAAGGTGATTCAGACGATGACTTGCCCCCTCTCGAGAAGAATCTGAACCACCTGAACCTCGACGAAGACGAAGAAAGCGAGGAAGAGAGTGAAAGCGAGTAAACTTATGGGCTGAAAGTGCTGCCATGGTAACTTTACGGCAGTTTTACAAGTGAATTTGAGCTGCCTGCTGTGGAGCAACCGCTGTAGGGGTCCTTTACTGTCTAATCAGAATAAACTTCAGTGGTATTTTCGTCCTGATGTTGTATGCATCGTTCGAAAAGAATCCTTGTGCACCTGTAATAGTGTGTACCTATTGCACAGGCTTTGAAGATAAATGATGAGTTGAACACCATTTGGGATCATTTTCTTTTTCTGGGAGACTACACATATCGGCTGGGTCATGAATTGGGCGGGTGTGTTCCTGTACTTGTTGGTTTTTTTTTCATGGATCAGTCAATGCAATATATGGTTTTTTTTTGGGAGAAACACCGATCATCAAAAAATACAATAGAGAAATGGATGAGCCGATACTGTAGAAGGGGAAGTCTTGATGATAATCATCGAAATTAAACAATGAACATGCATACATAGGTATATATATATGTGCCATGTCTGGTACGCGTGCTTTGTTGTGGACTGATCAGTGCCCAGCACAACTAGCAAGTCTCAGAGCATGGCACTGTTATTAGCCATGTAACCCGTGTACGTTATCATTACCAGGTCCGTACGTATATCATCAGCAGTGCAGGTGCAGGATCTGTGGAGCTTTAGAGCGGAACAGCGCTGCTGCGTACGCCGGTGCTCGATCAGGCCAGGAACTTCTTGAGCCTAGCTGCGGCCTCCAGCACCCTGTCCCTGCTGTTGAACGCGCTGACACGGATGAAGCCCTCGCCGCCGGGGCCGAAGCCGCTGCCCGGCACGGTGATGACGTGCGTCTTTTCGAGGATCTCGGCGAACACGTCCCAGGAGCGGTGGCCCGGGAAGCGCACCCAGACGTAGGGAGAGTCGGTGCCGCCGTACACCTCCTTGCCGAGCGACGCGAAGGTGTCCACCAGCACCCGCGCGTTGTCCTTGTAGACGCCTACGACGCGGCGCACGGCGTCCCGGCCTTCCTCCGTGGAAAGGCAGGCGAGGCCGCCGGCCTGCGCGACGCTGGAGGCGCCGTTGAAGCAGGTGCAGACGATGCGGTCGAAGTCGCGCGCGACGATGGAGCCGTCGGCGTACCGCAGCTCGTCGGGCACCACCGCCCAGCCGAGGCGGACGCCCGTGAAGCCGGCGAACTTGGAGAAGGAGGAGATCTCGATGGCCACCTCCCGGGCGCCGGGCACCTCGTAGATGGACGCGGCTTGCCCTGCCCCTCCGACACGTACCACGCGTACGCCGTGTCGAACACGATGATGGAGCCGTTGCGGCGCGCGAAGTCCACCAGCTCGCGCAGCTGCGCCGCCGACGCCGCGTGCCCCGTCGGGTTGTTGGGCGAGCAGAAGAAGATGACGTCGGTGCGCGGCGCGCGGGAGAGGTCCGGGAAGAAGTGGTTCTCCGGCGCGCACCGCATGTAGGCGATGCCGGCGTACTTGCCGGCCTCGTCCGCGCTGCCGGTCTGCCCCACGATCACGCCGTTGTCCACGTAACCCTGAACACGTACGCGCGCGCATGCATGTGAGCTAGCCGATCGAGCAACTGCTGCAGAACCGGACCTGAGCGAGACGGCACGTACCGGGAAGGTGGGATCTTGGACGGCTATGGTCACGTTGGGCCCGAACAGCGTCTGCGTGCAGAGGGCCGGGAGGAAGAAGATGAGATTCTTAGCAAGCAAACTGGAATTGAACACGCGTGTGTGGACTACTCCTAGATAGATGGCCGTGTATGTGTAGCATGATGTTACGTACCTGGAGGCGAGCAATGTCACACTGCGCTCCGTCCGAGATGAACACCTCGGACTCTTTAATCCCCATGGCTGGGTACACTTTCTCAGCTATGACCTTCCGCAGATTCTGCACATGTTCGCGAAGCAAAGCAGGTTCAGTGAATTGAAAGTGAGTGTGTTAATAATCTAGCTCTTTTTTTTTCCATAGTAATGAATCAACAAGGTGCATGATATCCCTAGCTTCAGATTAACTACAGTTTAGAGTTCAGTGTAGATGCAGGTTTCGGCAGGATCTGCATTACCATTTGGCCCTGCTCCGGTCCATAACCCTGGTATCCTTCTGGAGTGGATAACGCAAGTACATACTGCAAAAACAGGACAAGTAATTTGGTAATGTATCTAAACAAATCCACAAATAAAATTACTCTTCTAGTATATATAACATAATCTTGGCCAAAACAAAAAGGAAATTGATTGGGCTGGGCGTGGCTGCAGACGTGCATGAACCCGCACCAAATTCAGCGAGCAGGCTTCTGCAGATTTGTTCAAGGGTCGCTCTCATCAAATCTTTTTTTGTCCTCTGCAGTCAATATAAGGCATGTCGATTCCTCAAAAAAAAGTATACGGCATGTCATGATCTGAAGACATACCGTTGACCGAACACCGAAGAATGCTGCGGAGTATATTTGTAAATGCTCTCTTGGAGTCTTGGGTCGGTGTTTTTTTTTAAGGATCGGCCAGCTGTAGCTGTACGTAAGTTTTTTTAGAAACAAACGTGGTGGCTCTACGTGTGGAAAATGGCGAGAATAAGGAGGGCCATGATGTGGCAGCAGTGACGTACGCTAATATGAGTCACAGACGAGAGGAAAACCTTGACAGGCGAAGGAACTTTCTCGGTAGAAAAAGTGAAGCATGTAAAACAAAATGACATTATTCCTACTGTAGATTCAGAATCTGACGGGACGGGTGCATGCATTTAGCTATTTTCCCGACTGATGGTGGGGCAGAGGGACTGATATTGGCACTTACCGAATACTACAACGTGTTCTTTTCCGTCTAGACGAAACTTTTTTTATGTAAGCGAAACGTGTGAGAATCTGGTAGTACGACGTGGTATATAATGTGAACAAATAATTCGGTGTTGATATATACTTGCTCCATCCCAAAAAGACTGTTGTTCTAGAATTATCAGCCATGGCTATATTGTCACTCCCAAATTAGTTTCCTTGGCAAAATTATAAAGCTCACCTGACTATCACCACATCTGAACCGTTAATATCCAGCAAATTTTTATCGGTATATATATTGTAGGTGTGGTCCTTGCAGGGTCCAATGTAAAGTTTGAATCGTCACGGCTAGACCCTCCAGTGTCTTGCTCAATATATTTTATAGCATTCATCTTTGAGATAACATCTCATTAATATATAATGTTATGGTAAGATCTTATTTATCCAATTAACTTTTTTTTTGCTAGCTGATCAGAATACTGATCGACCAGCCACGCATGCATTTTCCAGTATACTTCGGTGACCGTTCCGTACCCCTGCATGGAAGGTTCTGCCTTGCGTGCATGTAAACCACTTCTGTTGTTTATATATATGATGAAAAATACCAGAAGTACATATTTTGCTTTAAAAAAAACGTATTGACACTATTTTTGCTTAAACACCGCCTCATGTAGCTTTACATTGGCTCAAACTTTCTCATGCATGCATGTTGTTCATGTTCAACAGAAAAGGAGGCAAGAAGAGTGATGAGAAGTTCACAGAAGAAAGAATACCTCGGCCATAGCTGATGTTATGACGCTTGGAATGGGTTCAGTTGTGTCGCCGATGCCCAAGCTGATGACCTTGGCATCAGGGTACTTCTTCAGATGAGCTTCATGCTTAATGCTAATCTGATATTTAAGGAGGATCAAACACGTTAGGAAGGAAGGACATGGTGAGTTACGCTTGTCAAAGGTCAAGTCGATCGGCACCTCCGGGAACAGGTAGCCCTTCTGAAGCTTCTCCATGTTCGGATTGCGCAGCACACTGGTCCGAGGAGCTGAATTGTAGTGTTAGTAACATGTGGAAGTCGTAAATTAAACCTGATGAACCGCGAAGAATGCAACGAGGAACAAAGAAACAGAGCCATGCCATGATCTTTAATTCATATATATTTGTACACGTATGTATACGTATGTACCTCCTCCAGTTGTCTTCACATGGATGGGTGCAGCATCCAGCGGAAGGACAGACTTCTCAAGGAACCTAGATGGAGGATCATCAGACAAAAGGGAGAGACTTACTGTTAAATTGATTTGAAATCCTTAACTATCAATATGCATGTATCATATATATCTTGCGTAACTAAACTAGCTGAAAACTAAGTAGACGCAGTACTTGGAGATCATGTTTGCCGGCATGAATGGAGCTTGGACTAGGTAAACTATTAGCAAGAGGCCGGGGCCTGGGGGGCTAGAATGTGAGTTTTGCTTGCACTTTGGAGGCAAAAGGATGAGCTCCTGATGAACGTGTTCACAGTGTTTCAATACAAGGCTATCATCCAAAGGTGGCAAGAGCAGAATGTGAGCAATGCTGGATTTATAGAATCCAGAGAGAGCCTGTGGCCTCGCTCTATATCGGCCAGCTGGGTCGAAAAGCTAAGCGTTGAAAAGTAGTCCGGTCCTTTTCTTTTAAAGAAAGTTAGCATATACTCCGCAAAAGAATAAAAGGAAATTAAGGGCAGACTACTCTGGTCTGGTGCCCCGAATGGTCCACCTTGAAAATGTTTTCCATGGTCTTGAGTTTCAAACAGCCGAGTCCTCTTGCTGTCGAGGCGGCAGTCTTGAGTTAGCTAGGAAAGGTTGGTCCATTTTCACAAGCTAGCCAGTGCCACGCCTTGGTCTATCATGTTCACACTGTGCCTCTGCATGCTGCCACATACACAGTCCAAATGTCCTATGTGACTATGTCTATGCATGTAACCGGAAGTGACCAACCTTTGTTCCTCATCACCGGCATTCCCATAGCCACTAATAAACAGGCTGTGAACTCGATGATATAACTACCCTCACAGCTAGCTCACATGAATGCATGGATCGATCGATGTTGAAATCTTCTGATCGATATGCAGTTATGCATACGCAAACGCATGCATCGTTACCTGAATATTTACTTGCATTGGCCATATGGAACCGTGTAAAATCGAGTTGAACCAACAGCGAAGACTAGCATCCAAAAATATTGTTCGCCTATCAGTTGGCGTGTGGCCTCGAGTGTACATCTGCGTACCCTACATATATGCGATGAAGAACCATATACTCGACAATCCGCTGCTCCAGTCCAGGGCAATGAATAATTCGGACCTCCCTGCACAGAAGAGACATGCATGCTAATGCGCAACTTTCCAGACAACTGTTCTAACTTGGATTTTCCATTGCATTCCGCAATCCTCATGTGGCCTGGTTCTGTTTGTGCTGGATCATCGATTTTGCATATGTTTTGCCGGATCATTTCCCCGTGCAGTTCCCGGAGGAATTTTCAACGCCGGACTCCGACTCCGAGAGAGACCCTGACCAGCCGGGATAGATTGTCTACAGCCCCTAGACTCATAGTAGCATGCAAGGGATAGATTGTCTACAGCTAGCTGCTATTTTTTTTTTCTTTCTTTTCTCTATTTGTACGTAAAACTAAAGTTACTGAACCATTATGAGTAGTCAGTCAATTATTACTCCATACGTATGTTTCAATAAGACTATTCGCATTGCATTATATCATGTCACTGTTTCGGTGTTTCCAATATTGTCATGACACTTATGATATAACTCACCCAATGCATAATATCATGGTATTATTTCTTAGGAGCATCTAAATAGTTATATCGTATATCTTCTATCCATGACAATGGGCCCAAGAATTCTACACAGTTTTCTAACCTTGGATATATTGTGCGCAAGCTGTATCTCCATGACGATACAACTTATCATGATCTTCATTAATTCCATGCCACGTCTTTTAGAACCTTGGATATAGGCCATGTTCGCTTTACTGAAAAGTTATGGCTAAAAGTATTGTTCGCTGATTTGTTGTGAGAGAAAAGCATTGTGCGTTCGCTGAAATAGTACGGCTCATAAGACAAATGAACAAGGCCTTGCCCAAGTATTTTTTTATTACTTGTAGGCAATAAATATGAACTTTTAATGCTTGTGTCTTAGAAAATTGTAGCCCATGTGTCGGGGACCGAATACCGGGGTACCCGAAGAGGAGGAGCTAATAACCATCAAACGTTGACGCTTCCGATCAGACAAGAACGCAACTACACTTCTTGCCCGAACAACGGAAGATTGGTTCTGCCTCGTCTCGACCCCCGAGGGCTAGACTCCGTCTCGCCCGACGTCCGAGGGCGGGCTCCGCCTCGCCCGACGTCCGGGGGCTGGCTCCGGCTCGTCCGACGACCGGGGACTGGATCTGCCTCGCCTGACCCCCGAGGGTTGGGCTCCGCCTCGCCCGACGTCTGGGGGTAGGCTCCGCCCCACCCGACGTCCGAGGGCTGGCTCCGCCTCGCCCGACGTCCGAGGACAGGCTCCACCTCGCCTGACCCCCGAGGGTTGGGCTCCGCCTCGCCCGACGTCCCGGGGCAGGCTCCGCCTCACCCAACGTCTGCACCCTGCTCCTTCATAATGACGAGCACATGGCAAGACAGACACTCAAGTCAACCGTAGTATCGAGGACCATACCCTACACGTCTGCGGGAAAGTATCATTAGGATATGACGGGACGGGCGCTTTAAGCCCTTCCAGGCATGACAGAGCCCGAATATTGTTGTAGGCGCCGACTTTTGTCTTACAATGTTGTGGGCGCCGCCATCAGCCCTCGGACGTGGATCCTGACATAAGCATACGACAACCACTATAATCCAGGAGGGAACTCACATCATCTACAATATGGACGTATGGTCACTTCCCTGTCTGCTCCCCGTAGAGTCACGACTTGGCACCCTGGCACGCCGCACCGTATCCGGAGTAGGATGGACGTGACCACTTGCTGAACGAAGCCAGAGCATCGGCCCTATCAGGATCGACGAATGTGCTATCCCTGGCACCGTCTGTCTTGTTAGCTAGGCAGGCTCAAGGGAAAAGGAAGACCCGGCACCTTCGAAGGACCTTCTCTACCTCTGGTTTTTCCTCTTTCTCCCATTTGTAATCCCTACTCCCCCTTAGTCTATAAAAGGGAGCGTAGGGCACCCCACTAAGGGGATGGATCAATCCTACACACCACGCACCACATAACACACATCAGAGCAGCAACCGAGCTCTCAGCGCCCTTTTGACCTTTCCATCAGAGACTTGGGACATGTCCCTCTCTCGACCGTTTGTACCCCCTACTACGAACCTTTTCAGTGCTAATAACACGAGCAGCAGCAGACTAGACGTAGGGACATTCTTGCCCGAACCAGTATAAACCTTGTGTCCTTAAGCACACCATCCGGGCCTAACGCGCAACAAATATAAATTTACTAGTTGGTGTTTATTCGAAACACCGACAATTGGCGCGCCAGGTAAGGGACCTTTGCGCGTTCCGACGTTAAACATTAGGCCATGGATGGCTAGCCACGGAATCAGCTGGGTCTCGAGCGCACACGTATGCTTCAGTGACCTGGACTTCATCGTCACGGTGGGAGGAGAGGTGGCATTGGCTCATGCCGCCATCCAATCTCTCCCCTCCATCGGCCTCAACTACGAGAAGCTTGAGTGCCAGCTCGGTGTCTCCTTGGGACCCCAGCAGTAAAGGGAGGACCAGCGCCGCCTCACCCTTTCCGACGCCAATGACATGGCACGGTTTGTCGGAGGGGGATCCCTCACTCCGGAACACCACACATGGAGCGCCCCGACAGCGTTTCCGTTCGGTCTCTGCAACGCTGCGGCGACCGTTAGCCACCTTGTGGCACGATGCATGGTCCTACCACCCGTGAACGACGAGTTCATGGGGGTGATCGAACACATCATGGAGTCTCTCCACAACCTCCTCATAGAGGAGCCGGGGTCATCATCTGGCTCTGACTCAAGCAGGGGAAGCCATCACCCCTCTCGTGAATGCTTTATGACGGGTACCCTCGAGGGACACGTTGAAAGAGTCTCCGGGGAGGGGGCTACCCCGGTGAACAACCTCGACGACGATGTCGAGGGGGAAACAACAGCCCCACCTCGAATGAGGGTGGAGCAGCTAAAAGCCCAATATCGAGAGCTCAACGAAGAGCAACTCCAGCTTGAGCAGGAACACGCGGAGCTCGATCGGGAGATCGAGTGCCACGAAGACGGTGGGCACACACGCGCCATGGCCCATGATGTGAACGAAGAAGGATCATCGCCGACGATGAGGCCCTTCCTCGCTTTGCTCGGGTGAGCAGAACATCGCCGTCGCGACGGCCTTGCTCCATGGCCTTCTAGAGGCCACGACGCCCAAGGATCGTTAGGCCCACCGTGAGATTCGCACGCTGCTTGAGCGTGCGGTGGCGCACAGCAGGCGGAAAGCTCGTTGTCTCGGCAACATGGGCTCGACACCAGCCAGCGTACGCCCTCCGACACATCCCGGCAAGGACGTGTCGGTCCACCAAACACCATCGGGCGACAGGCAGCACACCGTGGTCCCGGTGCATCAGCACCTCGGCCGTAACTACGACGCACGCAGCACTCTCGATGCTCGCAGACGTACCTACGGCGACCCGAGAGAAGGAGTCCGCCATGGCTATCATCCTCGTCGTCAGCGGACACTACGACAGCGACGAGGACCGAAGCTCGAGCCTCGACCTGCCGGGCCCTTAGGCCTTCGGCTGTCACATCCTCAACGTTGCTTTCCCACCAAGGTACCGACCACCGACCAATATCCCAAAGTACTCTGGGGAAACAAACCTGGATTATGGCTTGAAGACTATCGGCTTGCCTGCCAAGCCAGTGGTGCGGATAATGATGACTTCATTATCCGCAACCTTCCACTGTTCTTAGCTGATTCGGCATGAGCGTGGTTGGAACACCTGCTGCCCAACGCAATCTAGAGTTGGGTGGATCTAAAAGAGATCTTTGTGGGGAACTTTCAGGGCACATACAAGCGCATTGGGAACCCATGGGACCTCAAGAACTACCGATAGAAGACCGGTGAGACCCTCCGTGGGTACATCCGGTGCTTCTCTCGGTAGTGCAACGAGCTCCCTAACATCGCCGACGCCGACGTTATAGGAGCCCTCCTGTCCGGGACTACCTGTGAGTCTTTGGTTCATAAGCTGAGACGCAAGGGCTTGTGAACCACCAAGGAACTCTTGGACATCGCCACCAGCCACGCCTTAGGAGAAGAAGCGGTTGGAGCAATCTTTGATCGTCTTGACGGCAAGGCGAGGCGGGACGAGGGCATCGACGAAGGCGCTTCCAATCATTTTGCCAAAAGGAAGAACAAGAAGCAATGGCGCGAGGACTCGCTCATGGCCGCTGCTGACCACAAGGGTAGTCGGAAGCCCACGGAGGGCACTCTAAACCACTTCAAAAAATTACTCGAGGGGCCGTGCCCGAACCATGCCTTCCCGATTAAGCATCTGCTCAAGGACTGCAGCCTCATGCGGCGGTTCTTGTCCGAAGGTTCCAACAAAGGGGAGCACGGAAAGGACCCCGCCCCCACCGTGGACGACGCCGAGGAGAAGGACGATGCCTTTCCAACACCGGATGGGTGCCTCATGATCTTCGGAGGATCTGCGCCTACGACTCCATGCGCCATCAGAAGGTCACGCGCCGCAAGGTCTATACGGCCGAACCAGCCACACCTGCCTTCCTTCGGTGGTCCAAGTCCGCCATAACCTTCGATCGAACCAACCACCCAGAGAGCGTCCCACATCCGGGAAGATATCTGCTCATGGTTGACCCGATCGTTGGCCCAAAGCGGCTCACCAAAGTACTAATGGATGGAGGCAGCAGCCTCAACATCATGTACGCCAAGACGCTCGACGAGATGGGCATCGACCGGACATGCCTCCACCCAACCCG